CGTGGCTTCCTAGCACCCACCGGGAAAAGCCCTTGCCCTCTCGCTGGGGGCCCGGCCTTGTCAGCCTTGCACTGATAAGGTGCAGTCCGCTCCTATCTCCTCCCTCCATCTTGCCCTTTGTGATCTGATCTCTAACTTGATTCACCGGTTTAGAAACCAACTAAACTGCTTCTTTAGACCCCGTGGAAGCTGCATCGAACTAGTCAGACGTGACGTTTACCAGCCTGGAATGCCGTTTCCTAATGTTCTTTCCTGTCACTGGTTCCGGGCAGCTCGCCCCGTGGGCTTGGGCCTCCCTGAGTCAAGTAGGGATTTCTCTCCTGGCCCCTGGCGCTCAGAACACTGTCTGCCCCTCGGGTAGCCTCAGAGCAAGTTGGAATCATGACCTCGTATCCCATGTGTCCCCCCGTCCCCCCCAGAGCGGGCAGTTCCTGGGCGTCTGCTGAAGACCCGGGCGATGCGGGAGATGTACCGGAGCTACGTGGAGATGCTGGTGAGCACCGCGCTCGACCCAGACATGATCCAGGCCCTGGAGGACACGCACGGTGAGCTGAGGCCTCGAGGGGGGAGCTGGGGAGCCCTCCTTCGCCCCCCACGCGTTGTGGGGCTGTGACTCTTCTGACGCACCCCCCTCGTCTTGCAGACGAGCTGTACCTCCCGCCCATGCGGAAGATCGACGGCCTCCTGAATGAGCACAAGAAGAAAGTCCTGAAGCGGCTGTCGCTGAGCCCCGCCCTGCAGGTGCGTGGGAGGCCTGGGCCGGAGGTGTCTGGGCCCCGAGGTCGGGCGTGGAGGGCATGTGCACCTGTGGGCCGGTGCCGTGGTCCCCGGGACGTCTGGAGGGAGAGTCGGGCTTGGCCAGGAGAAAAGTTGAGAGCAGGGGTTCTGAAGGTCTGGGATGGACGGCTGGGAAGGCCCAACAGAGTGCGGTTGTGGAAGGCAAGTTCGGGAACAAAAGGTAAACTGAGGCCTGCACGAAGGGCTCGTTGACAGAGAATCTCAGGCTTCAGTATACAT